GTGAAAACAACTAAAGTCTTGAAGCGAGACTACTTCACTTTTACAGATCAGTGGCCACGAGCGGCAGCCACATTTAATAAAAAGGAATCATGTGTTCAAAGCGCGCCGATGTTTAAGCGTGTCGAGCCTCCAAATTACACCAACTTCGACACTGCGCTCACTTGGGTCCCCAGCAATACAGTAGCCAGGTGTGAAGTAGATCGGATGGATTGTTCGAGATATGCTAAGGACACACAGGAAGACTCCTTGCTTTAGTTTTATGGTAAAACTACTGATATATTCCTATGTGACATAGTAATAAGTAGTGGAACAATTACAGTAGAAATCAGTGAACTGATTAGGTAAGTTTCATAGCCAAGTTTACTAGCATAGGCTAACATTAGCCACCGTAAACTACTGGTCGTACCAGACCAAGTCTGTAGCCACTCAACCACTGTATGTATTGAACTGAGGAAAGGTTTGTGAATTCACCTATTTATTTCAAAGAGGATGATTGAGTTCGTTATTAATTTTTAAGTTGCAGCATTCCACTTTATAGGCAGGACCAATGTTTTGGATCTATGGCTGTGAGGCAGGTGCTCACGTTAAGAACACAGCCTGCCTTGGGGAATAGAGATTTGTTTTTTGTCTTTCATTCAACAAAGTCAATTATTTTGGAGGTACAAGGTTTTATTTGCAAGTGCCTTGTTGAAAAAGCACAAGACTGAAAACCATTGCACTACCTGCAGGCTGAAAACAGTCTCAAAGATCTAAACTCACTCCCTGAGTGAAATACACCACTGCTCCAAACAGGAGCGAGTTGCCTTCGGCTGACGGTAATTGTTTGGTTTCAAAAACCAAGAAGGAATTCATATTTTGATTTTAAAACAGAGACCAAAGGTCATTTGACTCAGACATGTAATGTATGCATCACCCACAGATATATATATATTTTTTTTACAACGCACAAATTCCCATAAGTCTAAGTCTGGTGTTTATTCTTTAATTTTTACATTTCACAGCAGCGTACAGAAACAACTGGTCCAGTTAAGTGCTCGACTTCTGTCCCAAGCTTCAGGGGTCAACCAGATCAGAGGGAGTTTTGGTGAAATTATCAGTGTTAACACCCCACTATTAGCACATGTTGGAATGATAATGGCTGGGAGAGAAAAGAAAAGGTACTCTCCCCCCCACATCCTCTGTCCTCACAGACTGCATTCCCTTCCTAAGCACTTGTGTTTTCCCTCTTTAGCTCTTCTCCCAGATTAAGCTCTCAGATATAAGTGGAAGAAAAGAAAAGGCTTTTTAGCCAAAGCTCCGTGTGTCGCTGGAAGGTCAGTGAAAGCTGTGGGAAGATGATGCGCTGCTGGGAGAACCTGTGAGTAAAAAAAAAAAACAGTGAGCTAAACAAAAACTGCATACACTTAGGGGTTGGGAATTCAAATTGAGGCAGATCTGGTCAAAATAAAAAATTCGTTTTCTTTTTATTTGGAGGCCTGTATTGTTGCGAAAATACACCCACAACCTGCCATACTACACACATACAGTAGCACATAAATAATACATATATATAAGCATGCTTGTGCCATTCATGATCTCATAACATGCACATTGAGCCAGGTCCAGTAGAGGACATCTCTCATGCAGGATCATGACTGCATGCTGCACTTCTGTTTAGCTGAACTCACACGACAGAAGCAAGATCGTGCAAATCTTTGGATGTTAAAACCAAATTTGCACGATGTGAGATAGAAACCCATAATTTTCTCTGTTTAGTTTTTTATAAGCTCTATGAATTGTTTTATACATTGACACTTTTTTAATGTGCATTCTGCCCTCTATACAAGATTCCCATCGGGAAAACAATAAAGCGCAAAATTCGGTTAACTGTCCTGAATCTTAGCAAAAGACAGCGTGTGCTTTAAAGTGAGCGCAGAGTGAGGAGTACATGCAGCACAGAATGTAGCAGGGTTGTAGCTCAGTCGGTGAAATGAGCATCAGACCTAGGTTGTTGTTGTTGTTGTTGTTATTGTTGTTCTATGCCTGCTGACCCAGCTAACCGCTCAAACAGGATGCCATTTATCCAAGGCCAAGCTTCTTACTGCAGCTCCAAGATTTCCTTTGTTCTTTTGTGTGCCGACAAACAATGATGATTTTGGGATGAGATTGATATTTGGAGACTGAATCCAGTTACGTAACAGGCGACAACAATCCAGCTGGGCCCCCATCCGGGTCAGACGGGAACGTATTCCATCGGACAAAAAAAAACAAATCACTTTCTTGTATATGTTACAATTTTTAATGACAGACGGCAAACACAGGAAAAAATAAAGTGTGGCAACATAAAAAATGTATTCTGATTTTGACGCATTACGTCCCAGGTACTAAACCTGCAAAAGAATGAATGTTTAAGTCATAAGAAATCACAGTGATCTAAATCTGACCAAACACTCATTAAGCTTTATTCATTTTTTCATTTCCTTTGTCTCTTAACTTCCAGCTTTGACATTTTCCCGCCTCTTTTCTGCGTATCTGCATGTTTCATGTAATGTTAAGGGAGTTTGTCTGAATAAACAGACTTGTTTTTTTATTATTTATAGGCACAAATGGTCCCTAGAGCACAGATATCTCTATCTGTATAAAATCTGTTGTCACCATTGATTGTTGATGCCGTTATTTTGCCAAATAACTGACAGCAGAATATAGAATCTCATATTATCTGGTGAGAACACCAGGTGGATGATTGATTACGGTTAAATACCAGCTTCCTAGTTAGAGGAAGCTCACTTTGCATTCAGCTTGTGTACAGTTTATATTCCAGCACATTAAAAGACTTCAGAAACAAATCATTTCTACAAACACAGAAACAAACAAAACTAGAATATCTCCGACCGTAACCATGTAGTTTTACTTGCCTAAAGTACTGTTGGGCTTGTGCGTTTGTCTTTACTTTCAAGGGTGCAACAGATCAGCAGCAACCCTTTTTATGTCTGGAGACGTCTTGGGTGTCTGGAGACATTGCATCAACATATCACCCAGAAGATGTAATTAAAAACAGCAGACTTCCCATGTTAAGTCCAAAGCGTCAATGACTTTTCTGGACATTATTTTGCGTTGTACATTATGATGACGACGAGGACAGGAAACGTACAAAACAACACACAAAAGTTTCTGTATTTTACAGACTTAAGACTCAAGGGTGAATTCACAAAAAGGATTCAGTAGCCTGCACAAATAAGGAAAAATGAACGCGAAATTCTCAAATACACCTTACTCTCTAGCATCTTAGGGCTAGGTTCATGTATTTAAATTAGGTAATAGCATACATTTGGCGCAAAAATCATAAAAATGGGGGACATTTGGTAAGATTAACTTACCGAAAAAACACGTGTAAGTATCATAAACTTGTGTTTGCAACACTTATTTTACAACTTACAACTTATTTTCTGCAAAAATCCAAATTTCCAATGAAAAGATCCCATTCAGGGAATCGGTGCTAAGCTAACTTCCGGGGGTTGGCTTACAAAAATACGTCATTCCTGCAGACCTCAATTGCCACTCGCAGTTACAGTGAAATTATTAGCGACCTCGGAGTTGGCGGTAAATGAAGCGCATTTATAAGAGGTGTTACGCCCAGACGTTTCACGGATCGTGGCAGCATTGAATGAAGTTTTTTTTTTTAGTCCTCCGCTTCACATCATGTAACTTTCATTTAAATTCTACAGTTGTGCATTTTGAAAACACCATCAGCACTAAGAGGCTGCGATATCATATCCCAAATAGGGTTTTCTCTCTGTCACGTTGAAACTCTCTGCCTGAAGTTTAGAGGAATTCCTCTGAACCTCCTCGGTCTAGTCCTGTAGCTTGCGGTCTAAACATTTCAATTGTTTCTCTGGTATTGTTTATGGGTGTGACTGAGCTGTAATATCATTATCTTAAATATTTTGTGAATCAAACCCAAGATAGCGGTAGCAAGTGATTGAATTGATTGATCAGCGGCAGCAACCCTTTCTTTGTGAATTCGCTTGTCAGAGTTCCAGACTTTCTTGGTTTGTTTGTCTCTTCTTTTGGTTGAACCAACACATTACATATTGTACTTAAAAACAACAGTAATATTGAATGAAATACTACCATATAGACTCCATGTTGCTCAGCGCACGCTAGCTTGTCATGTACTCACGCCTTAACATTTTGCGCCAATACAAACATGCCAGTGAAATACATCGTCAATTCAACTAAAATGCTAAAATTACAAAAGTTGCATTTCCTCTTGCATTTTCACCTCCTGCTTTCCAATCACACTTGGCACACAGATGTTATCTGGGACAACACAAACAGCCGATATCCAGCCGATGTCCAAGACAATCTATAAATTACAATCCATTCTGCCACGTTTGCCCTTAAACTGTCCTCATAGTGATCAATGGCCCTTTGGCTTCTGATGCAGTGACATGAGGCAAACATGTCAAATATAATGGCTTAAAAACATGTTCAACTCTAAAGTCAGCTCTTGTCATACATCGTTGAAATGTTTGATTAACGGTGCTGAGATAAATAAAGGCACTATGTTAGCAACCTTCGTTGGGACCAACAATCAGTGGAATGCTAAAAATGACAACAAACTTCATAGTTTAACTGAGGAAAGAAAATCTCCGCAGTGCAACCACACAGTAGTCGTTTTACAGTGTACAGATGTGTCAGAGTTAAGGAGCCCCAGGAGGAGGGGGTACAGAGAGCGCTCTGTGGCCCCAGACGATGCACTGAGCTCAGGCTGTGCTGCAGGTAGAACCTCCCCTGTCCTTCCCAGCGATCATGGTCCTCCTTCCCCCCCCCCCCCCCCCCCCC